TGTTGTTCTAATGATTACAAAGTTTGTATAACTGTAAACAAGGACACAGGGATCTCTTTACAGAAATCTCATAAAATATGAGGGGATGAAATATTAGAAAGGTTAGGATTGTAGACAAACAGTTTTGTAATTAACTATTTTAGAAACATTTTTTGGAGACCATTTAAATTTTTTTTCATTAAGAAAACAGACAAAATCTGTTTTTCTAGTGATTGTTTATTTTTGAAACTATGCAATGTACTTCCACATGGAAATAAATAACTGAAGGCACAACAATCTGTTTGCCTGAAAAAATAATAGGTTGAGTGGAGTATGATACAGTTCTAAAACTTTTACTTTTAAAATTCTCTAGTATGAAATGTATTACATTTTTAATCAGAACATAATAACAAGAGACACAACAAATTCACTTATTCATTAAAAAATATAATGCTTATTATGCTGACTAAACTGCAGAAAACAGGAAAAGCCTCCACACTTGGTGCAGTGCTGTGGAGACCAAGGGGTTCACTTAGTCACTTAAGAATCTTTGCATCAGTACTCAGGCAGGCACTGCTGACAGAGTGAACAAAGCACCTCACCCTTCTGCAGAGGCAGGTGAAACAATCCAGTACCCACACAGACAGGATGGGCACCACAGGTGTAGAGTGCACACAGAAAGTGCATTTAGAGGGCCAGTCTAGGCAGTGTCAAAAGACTTCCCTGGGGAGATACTGAGCTGAGGTCTGGACAGTACTAGGAGAAAGTGAGTCAAGGGGAGCACAGGGAGAGACAGCTACCAGACATTTTTGTGACGGTATTTGGTACATTTAAGTACCTCACATGTTCTCCAGCTCCTCATCCAACTAGTGCCATCTGCACATCCTAGAACTGATCTGAGAAAGACTTCCTACTGATAAGGCTGAGGGGGAAGGTAGGACCCAGAGGAAGTCATGACCCTTCCAGGCTGAAGAAACAATATCTGAGGCAGGACATAAGATTTTTTCAGAAACCCTGAAAGCCAAGAGTAGAGTGAATAAACCTAAACATATCAGGATGGAGTTGGTGTTTATCCTAAGAGCAAGAAAGCAAATTACTGAGGTTAAACAAGCGCTAGACAAGATTAGGTTTGTGTTATTACGGGACGATTCTGGGTAAAATCGAGTCGTGTCTTCTGATAATATAGTAATAATCCTGACCTAATCACGAGTAACATCAAACACACACAAATTCAAATACTTTAGTATAATTAATTATAATGGTAAAAAGACAGGGAAGGTAAGGCAGGATAGGACCAAAGAGGAGAGTGATTTATTCATAAAGCCAAATGTTTACTGAGTAGCCTTTGTATGCCAAGAGCTGTTCTAAGAACTGGGAATCTAGTAGAAATCAAAGTTCCAGTCCTTATAAAACATCTTTAGTGGAAAGAAAGATAATGAATAAATATGTATATATGAGGTAATATAACAATAAGAGGTACAAAGAAAAAGTGGGAACAGGGGACAGGGAGGGAAAGAAGGATACATTCTTTTTAAGCAAATGTGTCCCTGCCGGGACTCAGGTTTGCTTTGCTTAGCGGGGGACCTACTGGCTTCAGGGCAGAGGGTCTGATGGGTGACAGAGTCATAAACTCTGGGACCCGTGTCTTCCCAACAGGCCAATTTATTTTAAAATTCAGATGGTTTTTATACATCCCAAGGAACCAGCAGTCACGTGGGATACAGCAGTCACATACAAAGATTTAGGTACAAAGAAACAGGACATTTAGTCTGCTAGTTGGCGCCAGAAGGATTCTTAAACTTTTACTCAAGGTAATCAATGCCCATCCAGTAATTTATTGGCCACAATGTTTTCTTTCTTAGAGCTAAGAGCATGGTGATCTTTTAGCTTTTAGCTCAGGAGTCAACCTTTAACCTGGCCTAATCTCTTAGCCAGGGATAGCTGAGTTATTTGTTCAGGACAAGGAGATGAGCTAAGGGTTGTTGACCAAGACACTTTCCCACAGAGCAGGGAGCCTGCACTTTTATGACCGGGCAGCTTCCTCCTGCCAGCCTAACAGTGTTCTGCAAGACAGGGATTATCAGAGCCACTGTTTTCAGTGCCCCTCCCTTCAGCAGAGATGCAGCCTGGACCTACAAGTTTTAGGCTCACCTCACCCTAGGACCTGGCATCCTGGTTTCCTACATGTCCCCAAATTTCTTAATTGAGTGACGTGTGTGTGTGTGTGTGTGTGTGTGTGTGTGTGTGTGTAGGCCTGAGGTGTCTTCTTTCATCACTCTCCGTTTTATTTACTGAGGAAGGGCCCCTTGCTGAACTCAGAGCTCACAGACTCCACTAGTCTGACAGGCAGCTTTCCCCAGGCAAGCACTGAGATTATCACTGAGATTATAGGCAGGCAACTATGCTTGCCCAGCTTTTATTGGGTGCTGGGAATGGGAACTCTAGTACTCCAGCTTGCACAGTAAGCACTTTATTCAATAGGCCATCACCCAAACCCCAAGAGACACTAATTTTAAATTTAATTTTTTTATTTTGTTGAGAATTCACACAAGTACTGTGTTTGCATCATTTCCAGCCTCCCTTTCAACTTCATGACCTCTTCTTCTATAATCAGTATTGTTACACATACAAATATATACAAATATTCTATCTATCCACCCACCTACCCATCATCCATCCATCCTCTATCCACTCATCATCCAATCATCCATCCACCCACCCACCTATCCATCCATCTATCCATCCACCCGTCATCTACTTACCCATATACTCATCATCCATCCATCTACCCACCCATCATCTATTCATCTACCCACACACCCACCCATCCAATCCATTCACCCACCCATCCATCATCCATCCATCCACCCATCATCCATCTATCCAACCATCCATCCACCCATCCATTCATCCACCCATTATCCATCCACTCAACTACTCATCATCCATCTACCCACCCATCATCTATTCATCCACCCAGTCATCCATTCATCCATCCATCTACCCATCATCCACTGACCCATCCAATTCGTCATTTACCCACCCACCCGTCCATCCATCCACCCATTTATCCATCATTCACCCACCCATCCATCTATCCATCCATCCATCCATCCATCCATCCATCCATCCATTCACACACACATATACACTTAACTCACTGAGCCTAAACACGTACATGAGAACAACACAGTGTTGTTCTCATGTACGTGTTTAGGATAACGTTGGGACTGGATATGCTATCATGGGGAGAAGACTGACTCTCCCTCTCTCAGGGGACACTGAGTGCCTACAGCTCTTCAAGTAGGGCCTTGTGAAATTTCCCCAGCCACATTAGCAATGTCAACTGGCCTTGTTTCGGGTATGTTTATTCTTGAGATTTCATGGGAACAGAGACACTTTATCAAGAACTGTATGAACTGCCAAATATCCCTGTTATTTCTGGAAGTAAAAGAAAGACAGGAGTGGAAGGATGAGCATTTCACTGTCAAGTGAGTGCTGTGATAACAGAAAAGTTAGCTAACGGGAGTAACAGCGAAGGAAGATAGGAAGCTGGGCTTATCTGCTCAATTCTTGTTCTAGTGGTTAAGGATATTCCTGTGTCCACAGAGTAGGCTGGGCCTCCTTAGAAACCCTATAGTACCTTATACTTTATATTTTAAAGTAATTATCAGAGTACATAGCTGTCTTTTCACGTCAAGTATAGACTCTTCAACTGTGCAACATCTTTCTCTGCCAATGGACTTCACATTCTGTGATGTCAGTATCCATGGTCTAGCACAGGGCAGATTTTTAATAAATACTGTACAAATGAGTAATTTAAAAATTAGTTTTATTTATAGGGGAAAAGACACTATCCGGCCATTTTAACAAGAAATAACCTGCCAGTTATATGAACCCTGTCATCCCTCAGTTTTGGATAATGTTTGTGGAAAGTAAATGTAAAGTGCTGAGTATGGTTATGACTGAATGCCACCAGCTTTGTACAAAATGGAATCATACATCATCTCTGACCTTTTCCATATACAACCTTGTTACATTCTTTATCTCAGAAAAAAAATCAATGGTTGATTGTAACTTTTCTAGATGGTTCATGGGGTTGTTGTGAATTGTCACTGTACTCAGTAATGTCTTCAGGACGGTCTGAGCTGAAGGAGATGGTTTACTCAGCTTGCTATGCTTTTAAGCTCTTCAATTTGTTTTAGAGAGCTTTTCCATCTCATCTCTTAGATGTGGTATCTTTTCTACTGCAAGCATATTTGATTCTAAAAGTTAGTAAAATCTTAGTTAAGTATAAACAGTGCTGACTGTAGGTCTAAGGCAATCGAGCTTACTTAAGACACAGACTTGGGATATATATCATACACATATACCTTTATACATACGGTTCTATAATGTCTAAAATTGACTAATATGAAAAGAATGCACAGAAAAGAGATGCTAGAATCTATGCTGTCTGTCAAGTCCCTGAAAAAGCAGTTAAATGATCCTAAGACTCAATTTTTGAGCTCATCAGTTAGTCATTTATCATCTCTTATATAAATCAGGAAGACAAATGAAATATACATGATCTTGGTTGCACTGAGCAGTTGCAGGAACATTTTATAGAGGCCCAGAAGTTAGAATAAAGCAGTCAATCAATAAATCAATAAGAGTACTTTCCACCCTTTTTTTTATTTACTTGTTTATTTATTTTATTTTGTTTTATTTTATTTTTTGGTCTTTTTAAGGCAAGGTTTCCCTGCATTTTTTTTTTTTTTGAAACAGGATCCCCTGTAGCCCCAGGTGACCTGGAACTATGTAGACCAGGCTGGCTGTGAACTCACAGAGATCTGCATGCCTCTGCCTCCCCAGTGCTGGGATTAAAGGTGTGTGCCATCATGCCTGGCTGATAGCATTTTTAAGGAGACAAAGAAAATTTATTAGAAACACACAAGGTACCAACCAATGATCTTCATACTAATGGTATCATTTTTCAAGTAACTAAAGCTCATTTTACCTGAGGATGCATCAGCACATACCTTTGAACAAGTGGCAAAGGAAGGAAATTGAGGGTGGAAGTCATGTCCAGGCCACAGTCCAACATAATAGTGGTCGATTTGAATTTGAGCACATTGCATGGTAAGGTTGGATGCCCTGACAGGCAATACTGAAAAAGAAATGAAGAAAAAAAGAAGTAAATCAGTTACAGAAATGGCCTATGAAGTAAACTAAGCAACCCAGTCTCTGCTCTCTAGAACAGTAAGTCCAGATAACACTCTGCATGATACCCATTCTGTTCCTACTTGACTGAAACTACTGGAAAGTACTCACGTCTCAGATTGCATCCAACTTCCAACAGGGTGTCGTTATATCTTAGGCAAGCACAGCTTGGATGGACCACACTTGTTCAAAACAGAGGATTTCAGGGATGCGGCTGTGTACTCAACTTCCTATGAATGTTCAAATTTCCACTACCCCATTGGCCAGTGAGTCAGCCTGAAGCTGTGAGGAGCTGATAAAATATTATGCTGGGTTTTCGAATTGTGTTTGAGGTTTGGGTTTCTCTTTCTACAAATAAAACCTTTTTAAAAGAGTAAATTGCTGTAAACTGTACATCAGTCAGGAAATTAATATCTAGAATATATAAAGAACTACAAAAATTAAGAGCCAGGTGTGGTGGCACACACATTTACTCCCAACACTCGGGAGGCAGAGGCAGGCAGATCTCTGTGAGATGGAGGCCAGCCTGATCTTCATAGTGAGTTCTAGGCCAGCTGGGGCTACAGGAAGACCCTGTCTCAAAAAGACAAACAAAAAAACAAAAACAACAACAAAAAACCCTGAAAAAACTAGACATCAAAATATTAACTGATAATTGGGCTAATGAGCTGAATAGACAGGTCTCAAAAGAAAAAAATACAAATGACCAACACATATTTGAAGAAGTATTCAGTATCTGGGGCTGGAGCGATGGCTCAGCGGTTAAGAGCTCTGACTGCTCTCGCAGAGGAGCCGAGTTCGATTCCCAGCACCCACATGGCAGCTACGAACTGTCCTTAACTCCAGTTCCAGAGGAATCCAAAGCCCCCTTCTGACCTCCATGGCATTGCACGACATGGGTACGCTCACATACACACAGGCGATATACTCATACACATAAAATAATAAACAAAATATTTTTTAAAAAGTATTCAGTATCTTCAGTTATCAGGGAAACACAAATTAAAGCTCCTTTTAGATTCCATCTCACTCCAGTCAGAATGGCTATCATTAAAACATGCTGAGGCAATCTCAATCAAAATCTCCATGATATTTTTCACAGAAACAGGAAAAACCATCCTAAAACTCATATGGAATCACAAAAGACCCTGGATAGCCAAAGCAATCCTAAGCACAAAGATCAATGCAGGGGAGGTGGGGATTTACCATACCAGATCTCAAACTATATTAGAAAACTATAGTTATAAAAACAGCATGGTATTGGCACAAAAACAGATATGTAGAGGAATGGACAAAACAGAACTCCTAAACATGAGTGCATGCAATTTCAGCCACCTGATATTTGACAAAGGTACCAAGAACATACACTGAAGGAAAGACAGAATCTTCAACAAATGGTGCTGGGAAAACTGGATCTCCACATGTAGAAGAATGAAATTAGATCCTTATCTATCATCCTGCACATAAGGCAGCTCCAAAGGGACTAGAGACCTCAGTGTGAACCCAAAACATTGAAACTGCTAGAAGGAAACATAGGCAGTATAGGTGCAGGGAAGTATTTTTTTTAACTTGGGACACCAGTTGCTCAGGAATTAAGGTCAACAACTGACAAGTGGGACTAAACTAAAAAGCTGTACAGTAAAGGGATCAACCAATTGAGTGAAGATGAAGCCCACAAGTGGGAGAAAATCTTGACCAGGTACACATATGACAGAGGATTAATATTCAGAATATACAAAGAACTCAAAAAACAATCAAGAAAACAAATGAGCTACTGATCTTTGAACGGTGAGTTCTCAAAAGAAGTGGTTACAGCACTTCTTTGTATATACCCAAAGTGCTCACCCTTCTTCAGAGATACTTGGCAGCCATGTTTGTTGCTGTCTTTTTCACAACAGTCAAGAACAGAAACAGTCTCTCAACTGATGGATAATGAAAATGTGTACACTTACAGAATGGAGTTCTAGTCAGCAGTAAATAAAAACTAAATCATGAAATCTGCAGGTAAATGGATGGATCTAGAAACTGTTACACTAGTGAAGTAACACAGACTCAGAAAAACAAGTGATGTATGTTCTTCCTCAATTATGGATCTTAGCTCCAAATCCTTAAATGTGAGCATACATCCTGGTTAGCCAGGAAAATTAAAAGGAACTATGGGGATAAAGGGAAAGAAGGAACTTGGGGGGGGGGCGCAGGTAGTAGAAGAAAGGGGATATCAAAGGGGAAAATGGGAGCGCTTTAATTGGGGAGAAAGAAGGGAGGTTATACAGGGGGAGAGAGAGGTGAGATAAATAGTGCTTAGGTGGTGTGAAAAGTCAGAAGAAAATGTATTAGTTCAAAACCTTACTGAAAATACACATATATGTATATGTATATGAATATGAATATATATGTGCATGCCTATAGCTGAAGGCTATATAACAAGAAACTCAGTGCCAGACTGGAGAAACCTCCCTTCAAGTTGTTGGTTAGGGTAGTCCAAGACACTCCCAAAATATCACAGGCTATTGCCACATCCCTTGATTGCCTCTCAGAACTTGCAGGTAAGACCCTACTGCTGATGACAGGCCAGACTTTGGACAGAGGACCTGGAGCAATGGAGCTAACAGTGACCTGGAAGCTCCTCCGTGAAGACCAGCTCTCATGGTATCAGAGGACACTGTACAAGCTGCTAAGGGAAGAAAATCTATCAGTGGTCCAACGCAGCTGTAAAGCCCAATAACCACTACAATGACCAGTGTAGCAAATTGTCTCTATTGGTGCAGTAGTGGCACTTTTATCTTAGGGGTAATCAACAGCTGTCTAACTGAATTTAAGCCTTGTTCAATGGGAGTGTGTGATTCTGTCAATATAGCCAAATAAATATCGCTAGAAAGGACTTAGATCCTAGAGAAAAATCTATGTTTGTCACATTCCTAGATAAATGCAATTTATTACTGTATGCTAAATATGTATCCTTATATTCAGAAACAAGTATACCTCTTACCACTCATCAAAGAAGTTTCTTTTTGCAACAGATGGAGAATATTACAGAGTTCCATAACTGGTCAAACACAGAAAGTAAGTGTCTGTGAGATGTTCAGTCCTAAGTGACACATCTACAATGTAACGGCTACACCTAAGGCTCAGGGAACATAGTGGAACACGGGGCAGAGAGAACAGTAATGCATTTCTCAACTCTCACCAGGAAAGCATCATCATGTAACAGAATGTGATTAACACAGAAAGCCATAACTGGCCAAAATGTAGAGACTAAGAGACTGCAGACTGTGTGTCGGTGGACAGGACTCCTATATAGAACCTCTGCCACCCAGAGCCTCAGGGCCCATTGGGAAAGAGGAGGTGGGAAGACTGTATGAGCCAGGGGTGGTGGGTGATCACAAGGAAACAGTTTTCTAGGCTTCTGGGAACTTGCTCATATGAACTTACAGCAGTGGTGACAGCATGCAAAGACCAATGCTAACAAGCCAGACAAAAACCCAGCATAGAAGTAGGGAAATGGATAAGAATCCCCAATGTTGGCTGAGGAACTACTGGCAACTGATCGCTGTTGGGTGAGGGAAAGTTGGTCTTCTTTAAGGGAGTAATCTGGCTCCAGAAATGGGACTCACACTGAAGGACATTTGGGAACACAAACTTGATTCGATAGTCTTGAACATACATGACAAAATGCATGAAATCCAGTGTGTGCATGGGCCTATGGGAGGGCAGATTGGGGGTGGGGAGTCCTAAATAAGATCAAGCTGTATTGTATGAAATGCACAAAAGTTCAACTAAAAAAAAATTTTTTTTTAATTTGGAATGGAGCCAGGCATGGTGGCACATGCCTTTAATCCCAGCACTCGGGAGGCAGAGGCAGGTGGATCTCTGTGAGTTCAAGGCCAGCCATAGTGAGTTCCAGGTCAGCTGGGGGCTACAGGGAGACCCTGTCTCAAAAAGACCAAAAAAAAGAAGCCATAAAAGAGGACATGATTATAAATGTTAAAAAGTACCAGAAAAGGCTTATGGTTAGCATTCTTAGCAGAGGATATGTGTGTTCTTCACATACATACACAAAACAGAAGGGTGAGATGCCTACTCCTAGCCAGTCAGGAGCCTCTAGCCTACAGCAGCAGAGCTCAGAAATCAAAAGATACAATGTCCAAGGGTGCATCAAATGAACTTTGAAGCAAGACAATACCCTGACCTGAAACTTTCTCCAGACCTCCTTAATGTAACTGAAAAAATCCACAGACCATACTGAAAATTTTGTGTCATTCTGTGTCTGTGATGTATGTGTGCAAAGGGCCACCTCGGGTGCCTTTCTCTGTGGCATCTGACTTTATTTTTTGAGACAGGGTCTCTCATTGAACCTGCAGTTCATTGGTTTGGCTAGGCAAGCTCCAGGGATCTGCCATCTTTGCCTCCTCAGCACTGGGATTACAGATGGATGCCAGCGTGCCCAGCTCTTTATGTGGGTGCCAGGGCTGTAAACTCAGGTCCTCAAGCACTTTATGGACTGAGCCATTTCCCCAGTGCCCTCTATCATCTTCAATAATTCTATTTTTGTGTTAAGGAAGAATAAAAAAAGAAATGGAGGAAGAAGCAAAGGCCTTTTCCCTGATTGATTAAAGTCATTCTGGAGAAGCTTCCATTGAACCACAAGCCCAGATGAGGCAATCCATGTTCTTAGTCCCTTGTTTCTGAATTAATCACAAGGACGGGACAAGTCTAAGCAATGCTGCATTAAAGGCATCTCCCCCCTGGGGTAAGTCTTTCAATTATCTGTTGCTCTGTTATGCAAAGGAATTTAAATTGTTTGCATGAACTATAAATGTTAAAGCCAAAGTCAATAAAGTGTGAGTGTTCTATAAGCTTCCTCTGAGGTAGGCAGGAAGAACCTGGGAGGGGAGACAGCCAAGGCTTTCTATCACTATGGCTAAGACTTTCTATTACTCTGGCTTA